AAACTTTGTCCAAATCGGTCCAGCCATTCTTGACATATAAGCATTCTATCTAACATTCCTTCCCTTTGTATATACACATTTTGTATATTTCGCTATATATATCCGATATATTTACTATCGGTATCTACGTAACGGTCAGGATTGACCTGTTCGTCTATTTGTGATTTAGCCGGGATTAAAAATATTCGCGGTTTAATGGACATTTGACTTTTATTTAACACAAATGTATAGTCTTTTTCATCCACAAAATATTACCCGATGACCATCAAAATTGGAAGACTTCTGCCCAGCCCGAAACTCTAGCCCCATGCTAATTTACGCGTCGATTGGTCCATAATTGCGACCTGTAGAGCAACTGCAAAGTCAAGAAATTTTTCAGTTTTTGGTCCATTTCGACCCCTAAATATTATGCGATAATCTCCAAAAGAAATAGGGTTCTATTCTAACCTTAACCTCACCTCCATTCTAAATTTCGTGAAGATCGGGCCATAATTGCGACCTGTAGAGTGATTACAAATTAACATGGACAGACGGGCAGACGGACGGACGGACATACATAGCTAGATCGACTCAGCTCGGCGAGCTAGGAAGATCCATATATACTTTTCTATGTGGGAAACCAATATTTCGTGGTGTTACATAATTTTTGGCCCAATCAAACTTATAATACCCCCAACACATAGTGTTGTAGGGTATAAAAAACAAGTAAGCAAAGGCTATAAACGTGCGGGGTCGACCATGTGATACTCTACAACATTACAATATGTTAGAAGCCCCCTTATGTCCAAATCCATTTTGGAAGATTTCGCTTTTGAAATTATGCCACGGGCCACTGCTCATATATTACCATTAGCATTTGCCCAATATTTACGCACTCCATCGAGCTGTTAGTAGTTTTGGTCCATTTTACTGTTAAATATAATCCAATGATCAACCAAAATGCTAGATTTCTTCGCTGTCCTTAAGTTTCTTCTCAGGCGTGTCGACTGGCTTCACTTGTGTGATCCGGATATTTGTCTGTTTTTGACTTATTTGAACCCCTTAATATTTTGCCATCATCTCCAAAAGCAAGACGCACCTCTGCATCTTCAAATTTAGACTCATCTATATGATTTGCTTGTCTACGATATTTGACTATATTCGTCAACAAAGTCAGCATAAAAAAGGCAGAAGTTCGCCTTTTGTGTACTTCGGATATCGCCTGTAAATAATGTTGGTAATTTTTCACTCAAAAGTAGTGGTCCATTCTATTCGCTGTTCAAAGCTCTAACTTCATACCAGATTTCGTGTCCTTTGGTTTCTATTTGTGACGTATATAACGACTGCAAATCAGGAACATTTTTAGTTGTTGATCTATTTCAACCCGTAAATATACTGCGGACATCTTTGAAAACAATAGACCTAGCCCTTCTGAGCCTCATTCTACACTTTTGAAATTTTTCGTGAGGAGGGAACGATAATTGCAATCTGTACACCTGTCAAATTGAAAAAATCGCATGCGATAAAAAATATGAAAAATTAAAAAAAATGTCACAAAATACTATGAAATCTATATCAGCATCATTATTGACATCATTTTATGCGGATTTTTGGATTTTATTCGTTTATACCAAGAGGCCATTTTTATACCAAGAGGCCATTTTTCTACGTAACGGTTAGAATTGAAAATTTAACTTTTATTTAACACAAATATTATGGTCTCTTTCACCCACTAAATATTACTAGATAACCATCAAAATTGGAAGGCTTCTGTCCAGCCCTAAGCTTTAACCCCATGCTAACTTCCGTGTCGACTGTCAGGAAATTTTTCAGTTTTTGGTCCATTTCAACCCCTAAATATTATGCGATCATCTCCAAAAACAAAAGGCTTCTATTCTGGCCCTAGTCCCACCTCCATTCTAAACTTCGTGAAGATCGCGCATAATTGCGACCTGTAGAGTGATTACAATTAACATGGACAGACGGACAAACGGACTAACGGACATACATGTCTAGATCGACTCAGCTTGCCGAGATAGAAAGATCGATATTTACCTTCCTATGTGAGAAACCAATATTTCGAGGTGTTACATAATTTGTGGCCCAATCAAACTTATAATACCCCCAACACATTGTGTCGTAGGGTATAATTATTATTTTGATGAGTTGCAAACGGAATGACTAACTCAATATGCCATTCATGCTTTGTTTGGTAAAGGATATGCAAAATAACAATCCCTCAACCGCCAACATGTCAAAATCGAACGTCAAGCTCAATCAAAAAATTCTAATATTGCTTCATGCATCGTCATGCATTCTGACCGTGTACGGGGCACTTTAAAGCAGGGGTAGGCAAAGAGTATCCTATGGGATGTCTGTGTGTTCACCGACACAATTGTAATAAATAAATTGTTTTGAATAATCTGTCAAAATGGTTTTGGGAGAATATTTAGTTATATTCGAGCAGTCGATGAGGAAGGTGCTGCCAGATATTTTTATATAAATACACCGTTAGAAATATTGAAGTACATAGATTTATCTTCATATATATTTTTGCTCTCCCCAAAAAAATAAATTAGTTTAATTTCGATAGAGAATGAGGGAGGTTCTAAATATCATTTTGTTTCACACATATCTTTAATAAATCTATAAAAAAATGACTGATTTTCGGCGGGCCGCTTATTTATAATTTTTCTTTAAAACATTACCTCAATACCTTAAATATTTTTTACGTCATTCATGTTTTCTTTTCTCTTCCAAAATTATTTAATTATAACAGCGATTTTTTATCAAAATATGAATTTCTGCGAATAAAAATTTTCGAATTTCTTCAAAAGCCACGACTTGTAGTCTCTTCAAAAATATTCTTTGAACACTCACTTCTTGTAGTCTCTTCAAAAATATTCTTTGAACACTCACTTCTTGTAGTCTCTTCAAAAATATTCTTTGAAAACCTACGTCTTGTAGGCTCTTCAAAAATATTCTTTGAAAACCCACGTCTTGTAGTCTCTTCAAAAATATTCTTTGAAAACCCACGTCTTGTAGTCTCTTCAAAAATATTCTTTGAAAACCCACGACTTGTAGTCTCTTCAAAAATATTCTTTGAAAACCCACGTCTTGTAGGCTCTTCAAAAAACGTTCTTAAAAAATTCACGTTCCGAAGGCTATTCAAAAAACATTCTTAAAAAATTCACGTTCCGAAGGCTCTTCAGAAAATATACTTCAAAAATTTCAGGTATTAAAGGCTTTTTGAAAATTCTCGTCTCGAAAGCTCTTTAAAAAATATGAAAATAGATGTAAAAATAAACAAGTAAAAAAGCTGTAAGTTCGGCCGGACCGAACTTTTAATACCCTCCACCATTTGGTACAAATTTGGCAATTTCAAAAAAAAAAAAAAAAAATTCCGTTTAAAATTCTGTTAAAATCTTAAAAATACCGAATGCCTATTTGACGACGTAGACCTGCATAGGCAACTTTTGTCATAAGTTATTACAATATTTAAATGCGAAACTTTAAGAAAAATCTGTTTATAATGTAGCTAAAATCATCAAAATACCGAATATAGTGGGTACCGTTGTATGGGGGCTATACGAAGGTGTGGACCTGCACAGACAATTTTCTGGCATGGGTATCCATTACGAACTTCACATACGAAATTTGAAACAATCCCGCTAAATAATGTAGCTTAAATCATCCAAATACCGAATATCGGGAGGTACCGTTATATGGGGGCTGTATGATAACTTGGACCTACATGGCCCATTTACGAACTCAACCTGCCTACTGGGAAAATATACATGTGTGCAAAATTTTAGCCTTCTATCTCAGTTTGTTCGAAAGATAGCGTGATTACAACAGATAGACAGACGGACAGACAGACGGACAGACAGACAGACAGACACACAGACAGACAGACGGACATGGCTAAATCGTCTTAGAATTTTACGCTCATCAAGAATATATATATACTTTGTTGGGTCTGACATAAATATTTCGAGGAGTTACAAACGGAATGACACAGTTAATATACCCTCCATAGTATGGTGGAGGGTATAAAAAGGAGCAGAGTATTACTCACTGTTTATAGAAAGGTAAAGAGAGACTTTCAATATTTTTTTTTTATTTCAAAACACATACAATCACAAAATAATTTTGGATTTCTCTGCTTAGTGCTGCTTTAAAGTATGTACACGAATATAACTATAGGCAAACAGACAAACATAGCTAGATAATCTCAGTTCGACGATAAAGGAATATCGGTGTACTACAATATTTCAAGTTGTTACAAACTTTTCAGATTCAGTTTAACTTATAATAACCTCAACATATGATATTGTAGGGTATAAACATGGACTCGCATACTCTTCACCTTATCATTCTGATCGGAGAGTACAATAAACCGATATCTTCGTCATAGAAACTGCTTATCTCTATGCAGGTGTCCGCAACTAACTTTGCAAAATGTTCTAATCAGTTAAGAAGAGAGTTTAATGTCTGTCATCGTTTGCGCTCTATTTTGTACCAATACGTACACAATTTCTGAGTAGTTAATATTATTCGGTACCACTTATACGATTTTTCTGCCAAAACAAATTTTCTTGGAAAACTACTAACTATTGTTGTGGATTGTAAAATATTTTAGTGAAATTAATAATGATACGTCCAATTAAATTATGCTCCATATTACTGTGGTTAAATATTTAGCTCGTACTTTTTGGTACCAACTTTAAAAATGCCTTGGCAAAATTTTGAAATCCTAACGTCATATATATATTTTTTTTGCCAGTAACCTTTTTCTTACACATATCAATGTGTGACAAATGGTTATGAACATTTTAATAATTCCCATAAAATCAATGAATTGGGTACCATATTAAAATCAAATCATTGCACAACTAGGGTGTTGTTATCTGGTTGAAAAAAAAAAAAATGGAAGGGTGGGGGGCTGTTATCGCAGATAGCTGATCCGATATGGTTTTTTATTTTTGGTGGTAACACTCTAATTCAGTGGGCTTTGGGAAGTGGCATGGTTAAGATGGTGAAATAGAAACAAAAAAATATATCGGCAATTGGAAATTTGGTGTAAATCTGTGAAACGAATTTAACGACAAGTTGTGATTGAAAAGAAGAGGAAAATATATATTTAAACTACAAATTGTGGAAGAAGTGTGGAAAAAAAACTAAAAAATGTGAATGAGTGTATTTGAATTTTATAAAAAAAAAACTTTAAACTATAAATAAATACTACAAAAAAATAATAAAAAATAATAATATAATAATCGCAGTTATTTAAAAAATAAAAAATGCAGTCTTTTAAGTCGGAAGAACTGCCAGAGAATCCTCGCGAATCGGCAAATCCCTTATCGGCAATAATGTTTTGGTTAGTATTTGTGTATTTTTTATCAACTATGGAAAATTTAATGACAGAATTAGGTGTTACATTTGATAAACAATTAAGTTCCATTAAAACGTAAACAAATCGAATTTTGCCAAAACATTTTTGTGAATACTATAAAGCAAATACAGGGTGAAATAAAAAAAACTGTTACAAAGACAAACGCCATAATTTTTTCATTTTTATACTCTATACCACAAAGTGGTCAGGGTATTTTGTCTTTGTGCAATTGTTTGAAACAGGCACAAGGAAACGAGATAGACCCATTGTTCCTTTTGATGACGTGCATAGAATCAAATTCTGAGTCGATTTATGCATGTCCGTCCGTCTGTCCATGTATTTTTGTGAACAAAGTACAGTTCGCATTTATTACCCGATCCATATGAAATTTTGCACAAATCATTTGTTTGGCCCAAGGACGAACCTTATTGAAATTGGAGATAATCGGTAAAAATTTAGATATAGCTCCCATTGATATCTTCGTCCGATTTGCCTTTTATTGTGCACCAAACGTGTAATATCAGCCCGAATAATATGGAATTTTGCACATACAACCAAATTAAGCCTGAAAATAAGTATGCCAAATTTGATCGAAATCGGCTCAGATATAGCTATAGCTCTCATAGATATTGTTCATCCGATTTGTTATTTTTGTCCTCCGCAGCCGTAATATGCACTCTGTAACAACAATATGTGGGGAAATATATCAAATGCAGCTCAGAAATACCTTTGGTAAATTTTATCGATATCGGTTCAGAGTTGGATATAGCTCCCATATATAACTTCGTCCGATTTACCTTTCATTGTGCACCAAACGTCTAAAATGTTCCCAAATGGATTTGATTTTATCACATACGACCGAATTAAGTCTAGAAGCTAATGTGCCAAATTTGGTGAAGATCGGTTCACAGCCGTAATATGCACTCCGTAACAACGATATTCAGGGAAATATATTAAATGTATCTCAAAAATATCTTTGCCAAATTTATAATATATTTTCTATATATATTTTTTTTCGATTTCAAATCAATTGTGCATGCTTCGGAATATTTAGTCCTTTGAACTTTAAATTACAATTATAATCATTGCGTGTATGATTGAATTCTCCCATAAAAATTTTTAATTTTTATGTGGAGCTCTACTAAATCAGCCAAGTGGTGTAGAGTATCATAAAGTCGGCCCCGCCCGACTTTCTTTACGGGTTTGATTTTAATTTCATTGAATGAAAGCTAAAAATGTCGGAAAAAGCATCAAATTTTAGGTCTAAAATCGAAATTTACCAAAACATTTATGTTTATGCTATAAAGCAAATACAGGATGAGAAAAAAAAACTGCAACAAAGTCAAACACCATAATTTTTACATGAATGCAATGAAAGCAATCAGATTTTAGAATAAGTTTGTTGTTTGTTCGAACTGGTCACCTTTGGCACGAATTATGGTCTTCAAACGGACAATGAAACCGTCACACGCTGCCCTAATGTTGCTATGCGGTATTTTGACCCATTCCCGACGAAGCGCTTGCTTGAGTTGATCGACACTTTGGTGTTTTTTTGGTGCCAACCTTGCTTTCCAAAATACTCCGGGCACAATAGTCCAACGGATTGGTATCCGGAGATTTTGGTGGCCATTGTGCGCTGGAAATGAAGCGAGTAATCTCATTTTGTAACCATTCTTGGGTGGGGCGTGTTGAGTGCGACGGTGATTAGTTCTATTGGAATGTCCAAAGTCTGCGGACAAAATGTTTGCGTGGCCAAGGCCCCGGAATATTTTCGCTATAATATTCGGCATTTATTCTGATGCCACGGTCGATTAAAACGAGCGAAGAGCAATTTTCGCTACTATGGCGGCCCACACCATTTCCATGGCCGGCTCTTGAGTTCTGGTGGCCAACCGAATGTGCACGTTTTCAGCTGACCTCTTTAAATATAATATTCAACAAGTCAAATGGAATCAGTCGGTTTTGCCGATAGATGTATACCCCCAACCTTGACTTATGATTATTCAAACTCTTGACTCTTTATGGGGGAGGTTCCAAAGCAGTTGGCCAATATTGACCAATTCATGTCTGACTCAAGACTAATATAAATATTACAACGTGACAGATGAATTATGTGCAAATTTTTGAAAAATGTGAAAACATGCGTGAGGTAGCAGATATAGCGGACCAAACTATTCCGTTTTCATATATCTTCGAATACAGCTAAAAATATTGGTATGTGCAAAATTTGAAGGAAATAGAACATTTATGTCCAATTTTAAGCGAAATCATATATTTTGATGAGTTACATATTGACATCAGATTTCTGGTTAAGAGAAATATTTATATATAGCAACGTGAAAAGAACCGCCGATTTGTTTCGAAAATTAAGACCCTTTGTGTAGTACTGGTCCGATCTCCATCATCTTAATGACAGACCTTATGTTGATAGAAATATAGAGATTTGTCAAGTCTGAATGGAAGGAGTGGACCGACACATTCCATCTTCACACCAGATCTTGTGTTAGTAGAAATAATGAGATGTATAAGGTGTGAAGAGAACTGGATGCATATTTCCGATTTTATAATCGTTTTGGTTATTCGAAACTTTGACCCTTTGTGGAGGAGGCACCAAAGTTAGTGGACCGATATATTCCATCTTCACATTCTAATTTGAAGAGAACCGGATGCTTATTTCGGATGTTATGATCGGATGTTATGAATGGAATATGTAACCTTTTGTATGGAAGGTACCAGAAGGAATGATCCGATCTCTACCATCTTTATAACATATTTTGTGTTGATGGAAATATTGAGATGTGGCAAGTCTGAATGGAGTCGGATGAGCTTTCCCGTTTTATGAGATTCATGAATATTAAAAATATTGACTCTTTGTGGGGGAGGTACCAGATGATGTGGACCGATATATTCAATCTTCTCCTTGGATTAACGAAAATATTGCGATGTGTGTAATTTGAAGACAATCATATTTTATAAAAGTTATAATTATTCCAAAGTTTGACCGTCTGTGGGGGAGCTACTTGATGGAGTGGTCCGATATTGTCCATTTTCGCACCTGACCTTTCCTTGAAAATATTTTGATTTTGTAGGGAGATCTGGTATCTCGAACTCGATCTTAGCTTGGCAATAATATTACGATGTGCCAAGTTTTGATCTCTTCGAGAGTTATCGTGCGCACCAGCCAGCCAGGCAGACGGGCGGACATCGCTAGATCGACTCCAAATGTCCTGAAACGGATTTGCATCAAAGAGAGAGAGAGACAGAAAGGTCTAAAACCGTTATTTCTATGAGGCACGTTTTTAAAGTACCAAAAGATATATACCCTCTGTAGCCATATGGCTGATAAAATTTGAAGATTTTTAATGCTAAAGATTACCACGTTTTCCTTTCATAAACAAAGGTTGATTTTAGAAAACAAACAATAATGGGGTTAAGCCTGACTACTTTGCACTAACAAAAATTTTGAGTTTAAATAAAGTTGTGTTCAAAAGCACAATTTTTAAGGATGACGCCAAACACAAATTTGATAGTGTTGAAATAATAAATAATATTCTGATTTGTTTTTCTAATTTTATAGTTTTACCATGCCAACATTTTTCAAGGGACGCAAAAAAACTTTAGATGAATCAGATCTTTTTCGAGCACTCAAGGAACACAAGTCGGGTAAGTGTAGATATTGCACAGAATGGAGGCTTATATTTTTTTTAACTCCTATCAATTATTATCAGCTCTATTCAATCTAAAAAAATCATATGCCGAACAGACGATACACTCTAATTTATATGGACAAATATTTGCTCTTGTCATTCTTTAATCAATGGTAAAAGTAAACTTTGGTCAGTGCTGATAATGATTTTTAATATGTTTTACCTTCATTTTAAATTCTGCAAGTCTTTGCTTCAGTACGGAAGTACCTACAGCTGAGTTGAAAAAACAAATGTTCCGAATTTTGACGAAATTCTCTAATTTTAGTCTGGTGAATCCAAAAATGATGGTAAAATACAAAATAAGGTATTTTACCCCTACCACCCCAAAGAAAGTGAAAATGTAGAAAATTCTCTTTTCGATAATTTTTAAGAAATTCCAAGCATATTGGATTATTTAAAAATATTTGTCGAAAACTTCCGAATTAAGGACCGATTTTTTCAATATCAGACGACTGTGGTTTCTAAGCCACTCGTCCGACAGTTGTTAGAATTATTCCAATGACAGCTCAATATATTGCTCACAAGCGTACAAAATCATTTTGGTGACAATTTTCCACAAAAAAAGTTATTCGTGATGGAACTTAAGTGCGACAGTGTGACTTCTTTATATTTGGCTAGAAAACCACAAGTGGTTATCGTAAGAGCACTCCAGCATTTAAATGTGAATAAATCTTTTATGTCTCGTACCATCGATCGTTACCGTGATACTGGTAGCGTAGCCCGACGTCAAAGATGTAGGCCGA